ATAAATACAGGACCAAGAAATTCCAGTTAGCCTATGCTTAAGATCAGGAATGATTTAAATGGTTTAAAGTTAGCTCAGCAAGAAGAAGCTAAGGTCAATGTAGAATGTCATTAATTTCAGTTAGCCTATGCTTAAGATCAGAAATGATTTAAACTGTTAAAAGTTAGTTCAGTAAGAAGAAGCTAAAATCAATGTAGAGATGTCATTAATTTCTTTATTTCTTTTTTCTCAATAGATTTTAGACTGTGTTTGTTAAAAATCTATACCGTGTACGGGTTCTGGGAAGTTGGGGGAGGGGGGAAGGAGGAGGGGGGTATACATTAGGCTAGACAAGAATTTGGTGGTAAACTAGAACTATTTTGACACACAAAAAATTGTACTCCGATGTCTTACTGATTGAGGAATGATGAAATGTTTGTTTTAAAAGAAATAAAACTTTTGAACCCACCCCCCAAAAAGTTACTACAAAGTATCACATACAGTCTTTTGGTTCAAAGAGAGCAGTCAATGAGATGCTGCATACTTTGGATTTGCATTTCATAATGAGTTTCATAAAGGCTGTCTACATTATTTCTGGAAGAAGTGAATGTACTGAGATTACAAATTGCAGGTAGCCAAATTCTTGGACCAAGTCAGTGTATAAGAGAATGCATCAATGTAATGGTCCTGAACTAAATAATTCTAGGTGAAGTTCCTTCTCAAGTAGAGAAGATGAATGTGTAGAAAATCCCTCTTTGCTAATATACAAAGACATGTTAGGGAAAGGGGTAGGTTTGTGATACCTGATTGGAAAATGTATGTTGTAAAGCCCTGAAGCTGATATTTCCCAGTTTGTTTCAATAAAGGAGAATGCATGAAATCTCTGAATGATTTGTTCTAATAAACCATTAACCCAAAATGTCTCAGTCTTATCAGTCTTATTTAGTTTTATCATTGCTGGTTTAGGTCATTGTTCAGATGGTGCTATTTAATGAATGAGCTGCTGTTTATTAAAATTGCAAAGGTTGTTTTTTTCACACCGAGTTACATTGTTCAAATTCAGTCTGGAAAAACTAATCCTGCATATTCTTATCACAATTTCATCTCCATATCAGCAAAGCTTTAGGATATAAATAACTTTAATTTTAAGAAGCTGAATATACAACAGGAATAATCTGGTTTATCATTAATTGCTCAAATTCTAATTACTATACTGATTTTCTTTCCGAGGTGTGGAAAATACCCTGGTTGTCAATGACATGGCTTTTGAAACCATGCAGGTCCCTTGGAGTCCAGAACATAACATCCATCGAATGAAGATGGTGAGGAAAGTTTTGGACACTGAGACCAAGGCAGCATTCCGTCTCCATGACAACGTGCCCAGATACATTTATTTTGCATCCAACCACACAAACAAGTGGGGCCATGAGCAAGGCTATCGGATCCAGATGGTCAGCTTTTCTGGAGACCATCTGCCAGAGTTGGATCCAATGGAGCCAGGCCTCAGTTGGGGTCGGTAAGTGACTATTTCTAAGTGCAGAAATAAAATGGATTCCCCCACGTCTTTGGCTTTCAGGTGCTTGAATAAGATTTATTCATTTTAAAGTAATGTACATATCCATCTCTTGGCTTCTGGCAGGCCTCCTTGCAGATGATATGTTTAAAAAGTCTGAATATTGATAAAATATTTGCTAGGGAAAATCTTTCCAATTGCAGTACTTAACAATAGAGTATATAATTGAACAAAGTGCTAGCCAAAATCTGCATAATTTCTTCTAGCTAATGTTCCTCACTACCATTCATGACAGATCTTTCAAGTCCCAGATTTTGTTTTTATTAAAAATTCATTATTGGCTTTCATAGAAATATGTAATTCCCTTGACAAATATAACATGCTTGGGTTGTAATCTATAATCATGTTTGAAAGAACAGTTAATAGTTAAAAACAGACCTCAATCGGAGAGCTATTCTTGAGGTTGATCTAAGAAAAACCCTACAGACACAGAAGTTTCCAGATGTATGGAAATAAATATAGGTTTATAGAAATAAAATTGTAAATCTTTTAGTAAATCTAAGTGATATAAATTAATGACAAATGTGGCCTGAAATACATTTTTAATTTACCCTATTATCCCAGCTATAACCATATCTGGACTAGGCAGACCAAGCTATGTATAGTTTACTCCCTTATCTGATTTCTATAATAAACTTTACAAGTGTCCTTCAATAACACTGAAAATTTCACATTGCTCTGGTTGAGTATTGAAGATAACCAACCCATGTTATTGTACTTTTGCACTTTTAGACCAAATTTGAGATGCTCCTGGCAAACTTAAATCTCCTGCATTTGGGGTCAGTATATTTAATGGACCACCGTGGTCCACAGTGGTCTTGGGATTCTGCAACTCATCTATGGAATTACACATGGCAGTTCATGTATAAAATCATCTCAAAACCTATTTGTAGTTTAATAATGAGTTACAACAATGATTGTCCCTATATTTTTATAGTTGAGCTGTTCATGGAATAGCATCCTGTTGTTATATTATCTTTCAAGACTGGAACAATCATCTCTGAAAATCTTAAGAATAGAAATAATAAATCTTAATAAGAAATAAGAAATGCAAGTCCTCTTGTTTTGCCCTTTAGTTATAAACTAGCTGTTACAAAGAGGAAGGAAAATGAACCTTTCAGCACCACTGCCTACAATCAGATTGACCCATGGAATCCTCCCGTAGCCTTTGCTGACTTCATAAACAATGAGAACATTGTAAATGAGGTAAGTGAGGATGGATCCCAGCTACCATTGAAGCACTTTGTAGCTTATTATCCCATAATTCTGCAGAATGGATCTAAGGTCTTTGCTAACAATATTGTAATCCCAGTTTTCCATTTCTGCACATCCCTAATTCCAAGTAGACAAACAAAAAAATCATATTGTCCGATTATCCCTGCGTTTTACTAAATTATCTGCTGCTTTACTTAACAAACTTAGTTTATTTCAATCCATTCCTGTACTACCTTCCGGTTTTGCAGGTCTTTCTCCTAAGATAGCACAATAATATTATCTCTTTTCCTTTCACAGGATCTGGTTGCCTGGATCAATACTGGCTTTCTCCATATTCCACATGCTGAAGACATACCCAATACTGCAACCCTTGGGAATGTGGTTGGTTTCTTCTTGAGACCCTACAATTATTTTGATGATGACCCTTCCATGTATTATCCAGACAGTGTTTTCTTCATTGATCAACAGGATTCCAATATCTGTGAGATCAATTAGTAACATGTTTGGCAAAAATAGCTTCATGTTGCCCATTTCCCCCCTTCCAAAACATGACAACTTTCTAATGTATTTTACATTTTGACAGTGAATTAGAAATAGGAAACAAACAATAAATGTGTACTAGACTCAGGGGTTTCTGCACAGTTTTTTTGAAATCAGAATTTTAAACTGTGTGCATATATTATATTAATCTGTATCTCAATAATACTTTTGGTTTTTGCTTAAAAATGCATGGGTATAATTTATCTTACTTGCTAGAGTTCTACAATTTTCTTCTTCCTTCTGCATAGTTAATGGACATTTTTTTCTAATTATTGGTACCCTTTATCTGTTTTATAAGATACCTTTAAGAAGAAGGTAAACTCAATTGGTATTACTATGATGAATATGAACTGAATGTTATTTGAAAAGATTGTTTAAAGACATGGAATAAAGTTTAAAGAGATATGCTTAGATGGGAGAAACTATAATTGATTTTGCTGGAAAGAATTTTTATACCTATTTACCATAACAACAATTATTTTAACAATTGATGCACCATTTAAACTCTGGCAGAATAATTTAAATGGCTGGGGAATAAAACATGATTAAATGATGTTACAAGATGTGAAGGAAAGAGTGGGATTGGGTTTAGGTGATTTGAAATTGCATTTTGTTGTTTGGTTTTGAAAAAAGACTGCATGTTGCTGAGAAACAGAAGACTGAATTTGAAATAGAATTGCATAAAAATAATGACCGTGGAATTGCTAACATGTATAAACCTTTAGAATAACCAGAATAACAAATGAAATATGATTGAGTCAGTTAAAAATTGGTTGTAATGTACAGGTGAGAAACATTGTGAAAATACATGATTGAAAGAATTGCAATTTCTATTATGTTATAATTTTAAGGAAAAAAGTTACAAAATGAGGCATCATTTGTATGTCACCAGAGAAATTGTGTGAAATGTATAAAGGCACTTCAAATTAATGTTGGGAAAATGAAAAACAAGAAGTGACATTTTACTATGATTGGTGAACTTACAAAAAAGCCAGAAAGTTTTGGATTCAAATTCATACATAATTCAAAAGATTTTAAAGATTACTATACACTTAATTCTGGAGGCTTTTTGGAGGGACTGATAAACAAACAGTTGGGAAAAAAGTAGTGAAACTTTGTTTTTATATATGAAAACTTAGCAAGATTTTTATGTGCACAAACATGGGAAGTTTCTGTACTTATATATAAATGACTTATGATTCATCATTTTTATGTGTTAGACAGGATAGATTATAGGAAGAACATTTTTGTTGCAACTTTAGAGTAAAAGATAAATGTATCATTGTACTTATAATTATTGTACACAAGATCAGAAGTTACCTTTTTTTTCTTTTTCTATTTTTCTTTTTTCCTTTCTTGCACTTTCAGATTTCTTTTCTATTTCTTTATTTTCTTCTTGTTTTAGTTGTATTGATTTTTATCTTTTATTTTTTTAAAATAAAATGTGTATTATATTTATTTATATAAAATGTATTTGAAATGCCTACTTCACTTTACGGTAGATACACACACACACACACACACACACACACACACACACGGAATTATATAAATTAAAATTGGCATTTTTGCTATAAATTGAAAATTTTATTGTGGGTTGGTATTATCTTACTTAGCAAATCTTGAAGTATCCACTTCAAAAATATTGTGTTAGCTATGATGATATCCAAGAAAAAGCATGACTTATTTCAAATCTTCCCAAGATTAGGAACCCCATTATAAAATTATCTATATTATGCCTTTCTCATAAATAAGGTATGTGATCTAAAATATGGATGACGTGAGATTTAACAGAATAACAGAATACTATTCTGCTCAAAAAACCCTCTTTTCATACAATGGAGTGAGATTTTTTTTACCTATTTAATTTGGTACGTTTCTGACCAAGCTTTACTTCTTGATTAAAACTGCTGGAAGTATAAAGCTCTTTTCTTGTTTTGTGTGAGATGTTGTGGCTGAAGGAAGAATCTTATAAGGAAGGAAACCCTTTTGTATCTCTCTCTGATCCAGGTCCGATAGGAGTCCTAACTTGATAGGAATCCTAACTCAAGCAAGTAATCAAATACACATTTTTAAATCATTATTTATACTATACTATCCCATCAGGATGCAATGCAACCACAATAAAATAATGAAATCTTTTTCCATTTTAATGAAATATTAGTCTCATTAGTGTTCCAGGTTACGTATTTCTAATCTATTTTGATCCAAAGAGTCTCTCAAGTTCTTTAGCTGTGGCTGTGGCTTTTATCTTCACAGCTTGGCTGAGACAGTATAAATTTTCTGTTCCTGTTCAGACTGATTTTCACTTTGCTCTGTTTCTATTGGATGTTGATTTAATTCTGCTCTACATTGGCTAATAAAGTGCTTGGCGTTTAAGACAGAATTTAATCTAAGGCTTTATAGCTGGAAGGCAAAAATTACATCTCCCTGTTTATCCCAATGAAAATGACTCTTATTCTTTCTCAAAACCTTATATAGAAAGGAATATTCCTTTCTCTTCCCTAAAATTCTGGAAGGGATCTCTTTCAAAACCATGATTTCTTTGTCATTCATCTTTAATCTTGTGTTGTACAGCACTTGCTCTGTAGTGTTTTGCAAGAAAAAAATAAGATCATATCTCCAGGAATTGTTCTTCTAGCTGCATATGAAGAACTGATTTGAACCTATCTCCCCCTCCATTTTAGACCTTTTCCATCTCAATAACTTTGACAATGCTTGCATAATAATTTTTAAAATGATCTTGCCAAGGGTATTTTAAGATTCCTTGAAATCTCAAACATAATTCTTTTTGTCTAAGCTCTAGAAATGACATTTTATCAAATTGCCTTTCTAAATCCAAATCTCTAGGCTGGGAACATTCTATTTTCCACAGAAATAGACCTCTTAACATCAGCCATCCATGCCTCCGATTTTGAATATATAGAATGGGTCATTTTTGCTGCAAAACCTTCCATAAAGATTTTTAAAGTCAAACCCTCCTGATTGCTTTCATTGTTCATGATCCAGAGACATAATAAAATAACAGTAGCACCCTCTAGTGCTCCAAAGGCAAACTTGTCAGTACAAATACTATGGAACTATGAGACAGGAAATATTTAATTATAAATGTTTACAGATTCAACCCTCAGAGGAATAGATAAGGAAGAAAAGTAAAATATTACCATGGGAAGATAAGCAAAAAAATAAATTAAAATAAATTAAAATCCTTAAACAATTTTGGTAGATTTTTTAAAAAAATAATAGCATTTCTTAAACAGCAGGAAAATACATCCTTAAAAGTCCCATTTTTGTTTGTTTGGGGTTGTTTTTTTTGCTTTTAAAATCCAATCCAACTTCCAAAATAATTCAAATGAAAATAAATTTAGAAAAATTGGAAATCAAACAAGAGAAGAAATATACTATAAGAAGAGAGCCTCTCTTACCCAACAAATAAATGCAACAAAAATTGTTTGAAAAATGAGAAGCCAAAATTAGTTGCTGTTCAACACACCATTGGACACGATACTCCTCCTTTTTCTTATTTCGTATTTCATCATTTGATAGCAAAAGTCCCTTCCACATCTTCTTGTCAACTTAGGCTGTCCAGAGCAGAGACTACTGCTGGTTCACTCAGGGACATGCCAGGCGTGCGCTTGTGCTTGATGCGTGCTGCACGCGCATGTACAGTACATCCAAAATTGCTCTGTGCATGCGCATAAGCAAAAAACAAGATGGCAGTGCCTATGGCGTCCCCGGGAGAACTGGTTTGGTGGTGTGGCAGGCCAGCCTGCCAAGCTACCACTGGTTCAGGAAAACTGGTCCAAACCGGTAGGAACTCACTACTGGTCCAGAGAACAAATGGACCAATTTCTACAACTCTCCTTAAAATTAAGGCTTCAGATCGTGTCTCAGCCACTAATCGGTTGGATGTTTGTACAGAACGAAGCCCACATCTATGTGACTGTGATATATTCCCTTACAGGAGGTGGAAAACACCAAGGGAGTTCATTAAATATTTGCTATCTTATATCTAGATAACCTTCTGAGGCAGTGAACAAAATCATCTGGAAACAGTTAGATTCATGAAGTTGGTGGACATTTATAAGTAAATGCACCATAGAACTGCCTTTAATTATATCAATATGACTATGGAGCAAAGATCTCATCTATTACCAGTGGATATCTATTAGGAGACAAGAAAGGGATGTATGGTTCTTCCAGTGGGGATGTGGCTACATGCACTTAATTTGTAGAATAGAATATGAATAGAATAACAGAGTTGGAAGGGACCTTGGAGGTCTTCAAGTCTAATCCCCTGCCTAGGCAGGAAGCCCTACATCACTTCAGACAAATGGTTATCCAACATCTTCTTAAAGACTTCCAGTGTTGGGGCATTCACAACTTCTGGAGGCAAGTTGTCCCACTGATTAATTGTTCTAACCGTCAGGAAATTTCTCCTCAGTTCTAAGTTGCTTCTCTCCTTGATTAGTTTCCACCCATTGCTTCTTGTTCTACCCTCAGGTGCCCTGGAGAATAGTTTGACTCCCTCTTCTTTGTGGCAACCCCTGAGTTAGAGTAGACAAGGTTAAAGAAGCCCCTCTTGATGGGGACTACTCTTCACTGAAGCAGAGGGTGCTACCAAAAGATCCAGGCCCTTTGCAGTATGAACCTCGTGGACCACGCTATAGGATTCACAAAAATCACGTCACTTTTCTGAGCTGGAGTTTTGCATTTGGAATTGATGCAAGCAGGGGTCCACGTTTCTTTGATGTCAGGTTTAATGGGGAAAAGAATAATCTATGAGCTAAATTTGCAAGAAGCAAGTTCTATCTATGGCTCCAACAGTCCTACTTCCATGTTGACCAGATACATGGATATCAGCTTTGGACTTGGATCTCATATCTTTCCACTCACCTAGGGAGTAGATTGTCCTTATTTATCCAGTTACTTGGAGTGGCACTTTTTTTTATGATAGCCCATTACCTGTTAGCCATAAAAAGGCGATTTGCATATTTAAGCAGAATGCTGAGTTACCCATACGATGACATTATGAAAACATTCAGTCTCCTTTTTATGGAGGTTTGGCAGATTCAAATCTGATGTTCCGAACCATATCTTCAGTTGACAACTATGACTATGTCTGAGATTTTATTTTCCATGAAATGGATTTGTTGGTGTTCAGGTCCGTGCTAGTGGATACATTATTGCTGATTTTTACTTTGGTGATGCCAGAGACTTTGGCAATAGAGTCCAAGAGTGGGTGCTGGATGCAATTCATTTCCATAATATCCATTTCAAGGTGGATTTGGATATCGGTGGTAAGTAGAAAAATGTTTGTCACTTGCATGAAATTAAAGGCTTTCTGCATCAATTTGGCTTTTTTAGAATTGTTCTAATGACTGTCAAGAATCATAATGAAGACAAACTCAAAAGGGTATATCACTAAGCTCTTACTAATGTTTTTGAACTTCAATTTAGGAGAAGAGAGGTTTTTTAATGAAGAATATATATTTCACTGTCTTGTCACAAAACAAAGGGGAACAGAAAAGGAGAAGGAATGAAAATGGAAAGAGAGGGGGGGAAAGCAGGAAAAAAGTGAATGGGAGAAGGAGACAGCAGAATCAAGTGGAGAAGGAAGCAAAGTAAGCAGAGAAAGTGGTGAAGAGAGAAAGGGGGTGGCAGAAGGTCTTATCAGCTTGCCCTGATGCCACCCCAGCACAGGGCCCATGCATGTGAGCAAGCCATTGAGCAAAAGAGAGCCAGACATCCCAGAGGATGACCAAGATGGGTTTAGGTGTGCTAAGGGAGCAGAAGTGCACATTCCAGTGACAAAAGTGGGCTAACGGCCAGAGTGAGCTATAGAGAGAGGGACATTGAGATGTTTGGTGAGTGACTAAGAGCAGGGAAGAACCTCATTGCCTGGAGAAAGGGAACAGAGGGATGCAGACTCTAGTGGCCTTTGCGATGATCTGTGGCAGGTAGCTAGCAGTTCAACCAACCCCTTTATTTATCCAAATTTCCCCAAACGCTCCCATGTTTCTGGCAAGTCCCAGAGCAAATTGATGACACACAAACACACATCTCAAACAGCCTCTGGCTGCAAATAGTCCAATCCAATGTTATGACCACGATGGATGCAAAGTAAGAAACCCATCAGGGCAAGTTGAGGAATCTAGGAAGCAAAGGAGCAAGGCAAGTAATCCAGAAATCCAGAAAGAATGCAAGAAATCCAGGAAAATTCAAACGTCGGCACTCAACACTCCATGAATTCAACATTTGTTCCTGAGAAATGCCCCTCCCCACAGCATCTCCTTAAGTCTCAGTCCCAAGGTGTGCCTTGTGAACAGGGGCGGGGCAGTCTCCTACAGAGTAGTCAGGTCAGTCTGTGCTGTTCTCGCCTTCTCTCTACTCTCTGTGCTCGAGGATCAGGAAGGGGTGGTTCTTGCTCATTGCCTGAGCTCTGTCTCTCATGTTCACTGTTTAGCCTCTCCTGGTAATCCTTCCTCTCTTCCTCCCTGCCTACAAATAGTCCTAATCCTGAAAAGCCCTGGCCTGACTGGGCCTGCTTCTCCTCATTTGCCTCCAAAGCCAACAAAGCCGCCTCCTTGATTTCCATCACCTCCTGTTCCGGCTTATCTTCCTTTGCAGATTCAGGCTCCGACGGGGACTTGACACCCTTGCAGGAGGCAGCACTACATTAACATTGCCAAAAAATAGCATTTGCAATAGCACTTACTTATATACCACTTCACAGTGCTTTATACCCTTTCTAAGCAATTTACAGAGTCAGCGTATTGTCCCTAACAATCTGGACCCTCAATTTATCAATCTCAGGAAGATGGAAGGTTGAATCAACCTTGAGAGCCATTGAGAATCAAACTGCTGAAGTGCTGGCAGTCAGCAGTCAGCAGAAGTAGCCTGCAGTACTGCATTCTAACCACTGCGCCACCACGCCACGCAAACATTATTTCATAGCACAGGTAGTCTCTGACTTACAACAGTTTGTTTACTGACAGTACAACATTATGACAGCATTGAAAAAAGTAACTAATGACTGTTTTTAACACTTATGAATACTGTTGCATCTCTATTGTCTTGTGATCAAAATTCAGATACTTGGTAATGGATTCATATTTATGATGATTGCAGTGTCAGGGATCATGTGATCACCTTTTGCGACTCTGTGTGTGATCTCCTTTTGCGACTCTCTGACATGCAAAATCAGTGGGGAAGCCAGATTCTCTTAACAACTGTGTTACTAAGTTAACACCTACAGTGATTGACAACTGTGGCAAGAAGGGTCATAATATGGGGCAAAATTCACTTAACAATTGTCTCACTTAGCGATAGAAATTTTGGGCTCAATCGAGGTTGCAAGTTGAGGACTACCTATAGTGGTTAGGTCCAATTATATATTCCTATTCTTTTCTCTGTTACATGCATTCTGTCTGTCATATTTTTTTCTAGCACTGATTCATTCTAAATACTGCTGCTTTCTGTTCAATAAGCCCATAAAACTCTTTTGCTAATACCACAAAGTGGATGCTATTTATTGTGTTTATAAACATTCATGAAATTCCAGTGTTTCCTGATAGGCTAAGACACACATCCTATGGCCCCCTTTTTGTCTGTTCTGCCTCCACCTTATTGCTGAAAATTGTCGGTGTGGTTTTCTTGCACGCTGATGCAGCAAACACATGAACATAGAAGTGAAGATTCTAAGTCAAGGTCCCTTCTGAATATTCTTCTTGGTTAATAGGCAAAGACATTGTCAGGGAAAAGGGTGAGATTGTGTTACTTGAATGGCAAATATATATTTAAATGACCTGAAGCTGACATGTTCCTGGCTTGTTTCAGCTGCGCATTAGCTAATAAATAAAGGGAAATGCATAAAACTCTCTGAAAGGTTAGTTCTAATCAACAATTAACTGAAATATTTTACTTATGCAAAATATCTAATTCGGTTTTATCATTTTACATCATTTTCAGATGGTATTATTTAATGAGTTGCTCTTTATTAAAATTGCAAAGAATGTTTTCTCACTCTGAGTTACGTTGTTGATGTTCAGCTTGAAAAACTAATTATGCATACTCTCATCACAACTTCATATCTAGGTCAGCAAAACATTAAAGTAGAAACAATTTTTTTATTTTTAAGAAACTGCAAAAGGAGTGGACTGGTCTATCAGTAGTTGCTCAAGTACTAGTTGTTGTACTTGTTTTCTTTCTGAGGTGTGGAAAATACCCTGGTTGGCAATGACATGGCTTTTGAGACCATAAAGGGCCCTTGGAGCCCAGAACATAACATCCATCGAATGAAAATGGTGAGGAGAACAAGGCGGCATTCCATCTCCATGATGACATGCCCAAATATATTTATTTTGCATCCAACCACACAAACAAGTGCGGCCATGAGCAAGGCTATTGGATCCAGATGGTCAGATTTTCTGGAGATCATCTGCCAGAATCAGATCTGATGGAGCCAGGCCTCAGCTGGGGTCGGTAAGTGGCTGATTTTTAAGTAAAGTAAAAGTAAAGGTTCCCCTGGCACATATGTGCTAGTCGTTTCCGACTCTATGGGGCGGTGCTCATCTCTGTTTCAAAGCCGAAGAGCCAGCGCTGTCCGAAGACATCTCCATGGTCATGTGGCCAGCGTGAGTAAACACCAGAGTGCTGTTACCTTCCCACCAAAGGGGGTTCCTATTTTTCTACTTGCATTTTTACATGCTTTTGAACTTCTAGGTTGGCAGAAGCTTGGACAAGTAATGGGAGCTCACTACATTAAGCCACGCTAGGGTTTCGAACCACCAAACTGCCGACCTTTCTGATCGACAAGCTCAGCATCTTAGCCACTGAACCACCACATCCCTTCCGATTTTTAAGTACAAAGTAAAATAGTTTCACCCATGTCTTGGGGTTTCAGGACCTTGAATATGATAAGCAGGAGCTTTCAAATTTATTTATTTTTAAGAAATCTATATGTCGCTTTTGCTAGGCTCTGCTCTAGATTATGTTGTTTAAAAGTCTGGATAATGGCCAAATATTTGCTAAGGAAAACTTTTCTCTTTCTGTGGAACATATAAAGGTAAAAAGCACTGTTCAAACTGTGCAAAAAAAGTTTTTTTAGCTCATATTCCTCACTATCAATCACAAAATTCACTACTGGATTGCGTAGAGAGAATCAGTTTCTTTTATAATTATGGCATGTTTGTGTTATGATCGCAGTCGTGATTGGAAGAGTAGTTAAAAGACTTTCATATTACAATGCTCCATTTCTGGGTACTTATCTAAGTCAAATGCCACAGATTATTAAAGGTTAATACCATCTAGCAAAATGAGTCTTACAATCTTGTGCTTTTCTCCAACATGTTTCAAAAAGGAAGGCAAGAAAATCCTGAACCAGATCAGTTTTGAGATGTACAGAAATAAAATTTAAATTTATTGAAGAAAAATGAGAGTATGATATTTAGCAGATTAACAGAGTTGGAAGAGACCTTATAGGTCATCTAGTCCAACTCCCTGCTCAAGCAGGAGACTCTACACCATTTTGGACAAATGGCAATCCAGTCTCTTCTTGAAAGCCTCCAGTGATGAAGCTCCCACAACTTCTGAAGGCAAGTTGTTCCATTGGTTGATTGTTCTCACTGTCATAAAGTTCCTCCTTATTTCTAGGTTGAATCTCTCCTTGTCAGTTTCCACCCATTATTCCTTGTCTGGACTTCAGGTGCTTTGGAAAATAGTTTGACACCCCCCTCTTCTCTGTGACAGCCCCTCAAATATTGGAACACTGATCTCATATCTCCCCTGGTTCATCTCTTCACAGCACTAGCCATGCCCAGTTCTTGCTCCCATTCATTATAGCAATAGCAATAGCAGTAGACTTATATACCGCTTCATAGGCCTTTCAGGCCTCTCTAAGCGGTTT